AAATATGCCACACTCAAATGGTGAAAAAATCTCTATCTACAATTGAAATATGTGATAAAGGTTGATATTATTGGAAAGCTGATTCAAAAACCTTAAAATTAAACTCATATTTAACCCAATTTGGAGTTAAAATGAGAATTGGGTTAAATTGAGTGAGATATAGTCGTTTGAAAATAGAATATCAAATCTAACAAGTAACAGGAACAAGTCGGTATAGTTGCCAACTGAGCTGGCTTCTTTGCCAACTGAGCTAACTCAGTTGTCAAAGAAGTCGACTTCTTTGGACCGAGAGCAATTTTTCTCAAAAAATGGGTTCCATATGAACTGAGTCGACTCATTCTCTAAATGAGTCGGCTTTTTCCGGGGAATAAGTCAGAAATTTGTTAAAAAACCTCACCCGAAATACCTTTGTGCATTTTTAACCCATACCATGCATCCTAATGCCTCAAAACTGAAATCCAGGCATCCCAATAGTGGAACATAGCGGTGAAATAATTATACCACATGTGTGTAAAAGCATGACATGCGAAATATAAATGGAATATACAACGTATGCTTTGTATTTGAAATGGCTCTAAGGCCTAAGATACAACCTCTTTTTCTTTCTTTTTATTTTATTTTATTTTTTTAGTAGGCCCAGAGAATTAACTTCTATTTAGTATATTTATTTAACCATTTTTTTTAACTCATTTATCTTTATTTAACTTCTTTTTTTTTTTTTACTCGTTCCCCCCATTCCAAGTTTTTTATTTATTCTTTTATTTTTTATTAATGAGTGTATATAGTATGGACCGGTTATATTATATATTGAAAAAAATAAAACTTTAGCAAAACTTGAGTACAAGAATATAATTATTAACTTTGCATCTTAAAAAATGAATTTATTGTTAGCTTTTAATATCTTTTATTTTCCTTCTATTATTATACTCCAACCAATAGTAGAAGCCTAGAAGGTTCTTATTTTTTTATTTTTTTTTTACGTTTAGTATAGTATTACCTCAAAAAAATAATAATAATAATAATAATAATAATTTCTTATTCTATCTCTGTTTTTTTTTTTTTTTCCGTCGTCCCCCTCATTCCAACTTTTTTATTTATTCTTTTATTTTTTATTAATAAGTATATCTATATATACTTTTTTTTTTTTGAATGGTATATATATATATATATATATATATATATGTATATATATATGTACTATTATTAAAAATACAAGGGGTGTCAAGAATTTTAAATCATTATTATTAATTAAAAATAAATACATAAAAAATAAGTTATCAATTAAAAAACAACTCCTAATTTAATAAAGTTGTATAATAAGTTACTAATTAAAATACAAACATAAGTTGTCAATTAAAATAATAATCCTATTCTACATTGGATTCCACGTGATTGTTACCGATTAAACTAATAATCCTATTCACAGTATTCCTCACGGTTTACTCCACATGGGATAAAAGGGACCAATTAAAATACAACTCCTAATTAGTAAAGTTGTATCATAAGTTACCAATTAAAATAATAAACATAAGTTACCAATTAAAATAATAAATACAAATTACCGAGAGGTATGTAAAAATCACTTTACATTATTTTTTCTTTATTTTTTCCTGGTTTTATCTTCGTTTGTATGACAAATTTTTTATTTTTTATTTTTCAATTCAACCCCAAATTTAATGGTAACTCACAGTTTACTTTACATGGGATCGCTTACACACACAGGCGATACACAGAAAGGGACGATGAGAAATTACAAAAAATTGTGTCACCTGTTTCATTTGTTAAGCCTAACAAGAACTCACAAGATTGTTAATTTTTTTTTTTCAATTAATGAGACAAGAGGAACGTAAAAATCACCATAAATATATATATATATATATATATATATATATATATATATATATTTCCCAATTTTACCTTCGTTTGTATGACATTTTTTTTTTTTTTTTGTTCAATTCAACCCCAAATTTAATATTAGGTATAATGATATATAATAGCAGAGTTGTAGCAATAAGAATAGATTGTTAGACATAATAAGAAATACTTTAACAATAATTAGCCCATTAGGATTTAACTTTGATGCACAAAAACACCATGAGTTATAAAATTTAGAAGTGGTACATATGTTACCTTGATTCATTATGAGTAAGAGATTTTGAGCCTAAGTTATTAATGTTGACTAAACTTCAAAATGAGCCAAAAGTTAGTATCCGTCTACTCTGAATACCCAACGTAAAATTATAAGATCTTCAAACCACTTATGTATCTATAGTTAATGGGTACTAATTGTGGTGTTTCATTTCACAATACACGTAATGAGAGAGTATGATTTGGGACCCTTTTATATAGCATTAGTTCATTAAAGTTAGTTTTCCCATTAAAGACTTTTATATTTTCATAAAAACACCAAGAGTTATAAGAAATCTTAACTCTTCAATAACTATTTATTAAGTGAACACTAATTTCAAGAGTTACCAAATGTTATGTTCACTTAACTCTTCATTAAGTGAATATTAACTGATCGGTTGAGTCGATTACAATTATAAATCAACCTTCGCAATAACACGAATCATTGTAAAATAGGACTATTGGTCGGATAAGTCGAACCACTGAGACTGCGCTAATCTATGGCAACCTAAGTGTCTAGAGTCTTTTTAGAATGATAGGGGTGTTCATAGAGGAATTGTTGGTTGTCACTTAAGCTATGAAATTAAGGTGCATAAATTAAAAATTTGCAAGAGTTTAAGGGAGATGAAATACAAGTAAAGACGACTAGGGAAGTGAATCCGCCTCCATCCCTATACACATACTAGATTAGAGCTAAATTGGAGGAAAAACAATATATATATGGTCATGATACATAGCACAATTGGTTGCTATAATATCCTCAAGAAGCTCATTAAATCTCAAGCAAGCATGATCCATCAAAGGTGAACATGTTTAGACTACCTAACTAAAGTGTAGCTTAACTACATTTACTTGAATGAAAGACTATCAAGCCCTAGATAAAATGATGAAGCACATGAAGGTAAGAAATAAGCATAAATCATCAAAGGTTTCACCTAAGCAATGATCTATCAAGGTCCTCCAACTCCATGCCATTAAAACAATTCCATGATCTCACTACCATTGTCACCATAAGAGTGCAAGCAACATGATTAAAAGAATAAACCATCAAAGATAGATAATTGACTCAACATTAATCATTTACATACATGAAGATCCATTACAAAAGGTAAGATACTCTAGACCATGAAAAGACTAAAAATTATACATTGCAATCCCCAAAATAGAACTATACTAAGACATGCTTACAAGGGAGGGACTTCATCACCTCCCTAGAAAGAGGTTTAGTCACCCATGGGAGCCTTAGAAGAAGGAAGAAGCTTGGTTGCAACCTCCATTTTCGAGCTCCTTTGTTGTAGCTTCAAGAACTCTCTCTTTTTCTCCTCTTTCTCTCTCCATAAATCTTGTAAAGATGAGATATGATTTGTTTGTGTGGTTCCCCTCCTTTGTATAGACATCTCTCTCCACCAAACAAGGCACAAAAAACCACCAAAAGACATCTCCAACCAACCCATAAAGATGGAAATCAGAGATGTGAGAAACAAGGCACAAGTGGGCTGAAGTGATGGTTCCCGGAGAGGAATCTGCCCGGAGTTCGAGCGCTCAAACTAAGGACTTCGAGTGCTCAAACTAGCACTTCGAGCGCTCGAACTAAGGACTTCGAGTGCTCGAAGTTAGTCCAGTGAGCTCCTTCCTCTTGACCTGCTTTGCACAACTTTGATAGAACAGCCATAACTTTCTGCCCCGAACTCCAAATGATGAACCGTTTAAATATTTTGAAAGTTAAATCGAAGCTCTAAATATGTCATGTTTAAATGGAAGTCCAGTTCTCGAGTTTGATCGGTCAAAAATGGCGAGCAAAGTCAGATTCCGCTGCTGCCAGAACTTAGCCTTGAGCGCATTGCTATTCAAAGATTGAATAAAACACCATTTTTGCTCCTTTTTGGCCAATGAACCTGAAAATAAATAAAAGCGGGCAAATAAAGATAATTTATAAAGAATAATCAAAAAAATGGATTTAACTAATGCAGCTAAGGGCGCTTGAATATGCAATATTCGGCGCTTATCATTAACTTTAATTCCATTACTGTCACTAAATTTTATTGAAGCATATGTAACTCAAAAAAATGGCATTATTAAGTGTTTATAAAACTTTACATTTTTTGTCTTTCATATAGGTGCACTTAATATTTGATCACCTTCTAATTAATTTCTTAAAACCCTCTTCATGGAAGTATCTAATATACCATATGTATAATAATGTAAAGGCCACATTAAAGAGATAAATTTATAATAATCTCCCACTTGGCTTACATAATTATACCATTTATTAGATTATTCACATAATATGGCCATCACACTTTTCCAAAGAAGAGGTTGCACCATCTACATTAGATTCTGTTCAATGAAACTACTAATTCCAAACCATTGTAGTTATTAAATCGCTCATCGATTCAATACCATTCAACAATTATAACATTAATACCTTCATCAACATGAATCGATGAGATTTAACTAATACTGATAACATTAGCAAAGTAGTAGAGATTAGTGTCAATTCATCATTAACGGTCCAATATTGTTTTTATATTTAATTGTGCACGAAAGTTGAAAACAACACAACATAATCATCATATTGTCATAAACATAATGTGATCACAGCAAAAACATCTATACATTTTTAACCCAAACATAAAAGACTTTCCACCAAGCCCATGTGCGCAACATGATCCTTAAAGAGCTTAGGTGAGAGACCTTTTGTCAATGGGTTTGCTAACATCAGTGTAGTACTGATATATTCAATTGAGACAATTTGGTTCAAAACCCTTTCTCTCACAGCGAGATACTTGATATCAATGTCTCGATCCTCCAGTAGTTTTGTTATTCTTAGAGAATCGAATAGCAGCATCATTATCACAGTAAATTTTTAAGGGTTATGTAATTGAATCAACAACACTTAATCCTGTGATAAAATTTCTTAACCATATTGCATGACATGTGGCTTCGTAACATGCTACGAATTTGGCCTCTATAGTGGAAGTGGCAACTAGTGATTGCGTTTGACTCTTCCATGAAATAGGCCCATCTGTTAGCATAAAAATATATCCAAAAGTAGACTTCCGGGTATCCGAGCATCCAGCAAAGTCAGAATCTGAATAACCAATAACCTCAAGGGTATCTGTCCTTTTGTACGTAAGCATGTAGTCTTTAGTTCCTTGCAGATAACGTTGTACTTTCTTGACTGCTTTCCAATGATCAATACTTGGATTACTTTGGTATCGACCAAGCATAGTTACCATATATGCTAGATCGGGACGTGTACAAACTTGAGCATACATAATACTCCCAACTGCAGAACCATTACGAATTCCCTTCATTTATTCCCTTTCAATATCATTTTTGGGACATTGGAATTCACCAAATTTGTCACCCTTAACAATAGGGTCAATAGTATTAGAATAATGTTGCATGTTGAATCTTTTAAGAACCTTATCAATATAGGCTCGTTGGAATAATCCTAAAAGACCGCGAGACCTATCTCGATGAATTTCAATACCAATAACAAATGATGCTTCACCCATATCTTTTATATCAAAATTCCTTGACAGGAATTGTTTTGTCTCATGTATCATTCCCATATTATTGCTGGCAAGCAATATATTATCAACATACAACACTATAATACAGGTTTTACTACCACTGATCTTAAGATATATACATGAATCCACTAGAGATCTCTTTAAAACCAAAGTTGGTTAAAACTTCACAGAACTTAAGATACCATTGTCGAGAAGCCTGCTTTAGACCATAGATGAACTTTTTAAGCCTACACACATTGTGGGTCTTGCCTTTATCATGAAAACCTTCAGGTTGGTCCATATAGACCATTTCATGCAAGTCACCATTTAAGAAGGCTATTTTGACATCCATCTGATGTAACTTTAGATCATAATGAGCTACTACTGTCATGACTATTTGAGGCAGTCCTTCTTGGAAACTGGAGAAAATGTTTCCTTATAATCAATCCCTTTTTTTTTAGTGTATCTTTTAGCAACTAATCTATCCTTGTATCTTTCAATATTGCCTTTGGAATCACGTTTGGTTATGAAAATTCATTTGCAACCAACAGTTTTGGATTATTTAGGTAATTCTACAAGATTTTAGACTTCATTATCCTTCATAGATTTCAACTCTTCATTTTATGGCATTAATCCATAGAGTTGATTTATCGCTACTTATGGCCTGAGCATAAGAAATAGGATCATTTTCCAAGCCGATATCATAATCACACTCATTAAATAAATTTCATAGTCATTCGATATAGCAGGCCTACTTTCTCTTTGGGATCTGCGTAAAGGTACTTCTATAATTGGAGTAGATTCCTTAATGTGGGAAGTTTCTTTAACACCACAATTTTCCAAAATAAGTGTATGTGTCACCATATCTTGGACCACCTGTAATGGCATAAGAATCCGATCTTCCTCAAAGGAAATTTTTCTAGGCTCAATTCTCCAACTAACATCCCCATTTTCTAAAAACACGGCATGTCTAGTTTCAATAATTCGAGTACTATGAGTGGGACGATAAAATCTAAACCCTTTTGATCGTTCTGGATAACCACTGATATAACAACTTATAATTCCAGAGTCCAATTTCTTTAATTGTGTGGTGTGCCCATTTCCTCGTCTTCAATGGAACGACAAACCAAAGTATGTGAGTGTGTGGCTAAGTTTTAAATTTATAAAGTGCCACTACTACCTTTAACTACTAACGCAGCAAGGGCGAGTAGGGATCGTCCACAGGGATTGGGAGGCAGTATTGATATGGAAACGATATAGGGTTAGTAGGTCGAGTGATCAAAGATGTGGTTTGCTTGGTTGATTAAACTACAAACTAAAACTAAGCAAATTCAATATAAAGCAAGTAATAGTAAATGAAGATAGAGAAAACAATAGAGAAAGGTCTTCGGACTTAGAGGTCACCACTAAACATCACCTTTCTAGACACTCAATGTACAATGAATGAGGGGAAACATGTGTTGCAATATAGTGTGTGTTTTTATTGAATCAACAAGCAAGGATGACTAATTAAGTATATATTGTCTAAACAATATGGTGAATAACACAATATATCAAACTAAGCCAATATTCCTTCCTTTAAGCTCACAATCTAAACACATCAAATGGTTAGAGACATATACTACTTGCATTCATAAGCATGGAACATCAAACAAGAAGCATGGATTATCCTCCCATCTAAGAAACTAAGGCAACTACACTACAACTAAGCTAGGGACATGAAAATTAAACTAATTAAACTAAGGGAGAGGCACAATCCAACAAAAAATGAGAATGAACCATCAAATAAACCACAAGAGTATTCTATTAAGTACCATGCCTTGACAATCTCTAGATTCATAACATCAACACACATAGACATGCATCAACAACACAAAAATTAGAGATAAACACATGAACATCTACTCTAGCATACATAGACATATGGATAGATTGAAATGATCAATTAGAAGCATTAAACCACACAAATCATTGTATAAACAAGATTCATATATAAATCAAGTGCCAAGATAAGAATTACAACACAAATCCCCTCACAATATAAAACATCAAGGTCAAGAAGGCATGCTTAGTGTTGGGTCCTTATATTGTAGGTCGCGGTGACCACAAGCTTATAGAAGCATGCAATTTAGGCGAGGGCCAAGTTTTACATTTATAAAGCCACTACTACCTTTACTAAAAATATAGCTAGGGTGAGTAAGGATCGTCCCAAGGGATTGGAGTCGTACTTGAATGTGAAAATGTAACTAGGGTCAGTAGGTCGAGTGATCAAACAAGTGATTGGTTGGTTATTTAAACTAGAGAATAACTAAATTAAATTAAGTAAGAATACAATGCTAAAAAGAGTAAGTAAGGGAGAAAGAGATCTTGAGATTTAGAGATCACCACCAAGCAATGCATTTCTATATCATTGACAAATGATTAATGAGGGCAATTAGGGTGTTGCAATATTGGAGTGTGTGTATTTGGTTGATTCAACAAGCAAGGATGACTAGTTAAGCATGTATTGTCTAAACATCATATGAAAGGCACAATATATCTAAACTATAAAGCATATATTGTCTAAACAACATGTGAAAGGCACAATAAATCAAAATAAGTTATTAATCCTTTAATTAAGTTCACAATCCAAATACAACACAAGGATAGAAACATATGTTAATTGCATTCACAAGCTTGGATCATCAAACAACAAGTATAGATTGTCCTCCCATTTAACACTACTCTATAACTACACTACATCTACACTACTAGCATGAAAATAAACTATGGGAGAGGCACAATCCATCAAGAGATAAGCATGAACCATCAAGAGAATCACAAAAGTATTCCTTTAAGCACTATGTTTTGACAACCTCTAAATCTATGGCATCAATACACATAGACATGCATCAATAACATAAAATCTAGAGACAAGAACATGAACATCAATTCTAGCATACATAGACATATGGATAGAATAAAATGATCAATTGAAAGCATTAAACCACATAAATCATTGAATAAACAAGATCTATATATATCAAAGTGTTAAAACATCAATTACAATACTAATCCCTCAATAATACATAAGATTAAGATATAAAAAGCATGCTTGGGGTTAACTCTAGCCCCAAGAGGATGTCTAGCCACTCATGGTGAAGATGCTCCAACCCTCAAGGGCTAACTCCATGGAAGAGGTTTGCTCCTTGTTGATGAAGATCTCCAATGGTGTCTCTAGCGTCCTCCTCCTTTAAACTTCCTCTCCAAGAGATGATATAAAAAAAAATAATGTTGGCTCCCCTTTGAAAAAGCAATCCTTATCCTCATATAGGTAGGTCAAAATGACACCCAAAATGAGCTGGGGTCGTACACATAATATTCCACAATGATTGGATAAAGGACAACTTTTAATCAGATGAAATTTTAACTTTTTCGCACTGGAGGAAGTTCGATCAATCGAAAGTAAGTGAGATCGATCGAACTTAGGCTGGATTGATCCAACTAGCTAAGCTTTTTGGAAAAAGACAAATTCGAGATATTTATGGGAAAAGGACAAAAGTGGTTGGTGGGTGGTACAGCTGTGGATAGGATCAATCATTTGGATAAGGACAAAGGTGTTTGATCGATCGAAGAATGATGTTGCATTGATCGAACTTTTGAACTTAAGTGCTTTGGGTCAAGGCTTGGATCTATCTTGAAGTGCTGAGATCGATCAATGTTCGATCGATCGAACCTTGGACTTGGATTGATCGAACTTGCTGCTTTGCTTCATTTTGCTTCTTTCTTTCTCCACTTTGCTCCTTTCTTTGTTCAATCCCAAAATTGCTTCAATTAAGCTCTTATTTGGCTGAGTTAGCTTATTTTTGGGATAAGTCCCTGAAAATGGAAATAATATGAAATCAATCTAAAACGGTAAAGTAAGATAGATAAAGGTACTAGAATGTCTAAGCTTAAGGGGTTTAAATACGCACTTTTCAGTGCTCATCACACCCCCAAACTTAAATATTGCTAGTCCCTAGCAATGAACTAGAAAGTAAAGCAATGAAATGAACAACTAAACAGCTATAACTAGAAAGCAATGAAATGAATAACGCCACTTTTATAGGGAACACGATTACACTTAGCACATGCAACAAGCCTTTTAAACCCCTAGGTTACCCCTAGTGGACGAGTGAAGTCTCGTGAGGGTTTCCAGAAATGGTACCCGCAAACATTAAGCTCATTCTTTCAAAAGAGGCACCAATATTGCCAACAAGCATTTAGAGAAAACTACCTCAAGTATGCAATTTTTCAACCCTTTCCAAGTAATCTCTCAAATTTTCAACATCAAGCAAGCAAGTATGGTCCTCCATACATCAAGAAAATGATCATGCAAATCTAAACAACTCTAGAATTCTTTTGAGTGGACCGGCATCAATATGTTACTATCTTAGCCAACTAAAGAATTAATCACATCATTACCCTCAAACTAGCATACAAATCTAGTACCGATCATCAAGACAAAAAGTGGACCTTTTATTAAAGCTTTATTGTTCTAGGTGCGCTTATTTTTTTTTTTATTATTTTTTTTTTTTTAAGATCAAAGATGGAAGCATAGTGCAATGTATTGATCTATTAAGCTTTCTAGTGATTCTTGAGATCGAGCGTTAGGTCAATGACTCCCAAACTAGACGGCTTTAGGGCATTAGGCGTTCAAACACCCCTACGGACTTACAAGCTCAAATTAACTAGGCTACAAATCAAAATAACCTCCATCTAATCATTTCCCACTTCTCACCATTTGGGAGAAGTCCTCACTTTTTATTGCTTTTGTTTTG